TCAATTCCAAATTGGTGTAGAAGTGCATTCAGGACTGGTACTTTCTATCCCTAAATTTTTCTAAACCTCAATCTCAAAAAGTAAGGCATCCTAGCTGATCCTGCTCCCTTTCTTTCTCACAATAGCTCAAAATTGGGTTCACATGAGTAACTTATTTTTATCCAAAAGAAAAGTCTCTCAGGAAGACAAATGAGTTTTTTTCAATGACATTTATTTCACCCTTCAACTAGACTGAAATGGTCAGAAGTTTGATCAAGCTTTTCATATGAATTCATATTTTTCCACATATACATATAGCCACAAAACCTTCCAAAATACACACTATTTGGGGCCTGTTTGGCTGTGCACAACTCCCAGATACTGAAATATGAGATAATTATCTGTCCATAGTGTGTTAAATGTCAACTTTTGTGTTTAAAACCATTTTTTTGTTTCTTCCCCACCTATGTCTGCAAAATTCTTCCATGAAATTCTTCCATGTCAAATGAAAAAAAGCTTTCAGCTTGATCCCCACAGCTACAGAAAATCTCAGTCAGCCCAATCCTAATCAGTACAGCTGATCAGCTGCTCATCCTTGATGAAACTCAGATTTTTGACAAGAGAGGGGGAAGAGACCGGGAGATGAAAAAGCCTCAAGGAAAACTTCTGGCCAAAAAAGGGCTGAGGCTGCTAGCTTGCATGGAGGAAAAGCTGACACACTCTACAAGGAGTTGTATCTGGTAGAGACTCCAGGGAACAGGCGCAGAAGAACTGATGCTTTTCATTTTCTAAGTCAGAAAGCATGACTATTTAACTACATACATGTTGTGGCTGAGTTGTGGGACAGAAGAGGAAAAATGCATATTCATCTGGAAATGAGAGAAAAAGGGTGACAGATGAAAAAGGAGTGACACTAGCATGACAGAGAGAAGAAGGAAATGGAACAACGACAGCTGAAATCCAACAATCCTTCATCTCAGTCTTGAAGCGCAGTGGGAAAACCACCACCTGATCTTTACTGAGGTGGGAGTCAGGTTAGCAGTCCTGTTATTGGTTTAGGGGTTAGATTTAAGTGAAGGTTTGAGGGTTGAGGGTCTTAGTGTGTTAGGGGTTAGGGGAAGGGGTTATCCCAACCTGGCTCTCCCAGCTCTTCCAGCTCTAAAAACAGCTCACCTAGCTTACCCAATTCTTATACCAGATGGTGAGATGGATGATCTAGTCTGTAGTGGCACACTCAGCGCCAGCCTTTTTCCGTTCAAAATGAAAGATGATAACACAACTTTTTCCATTTGGGATTGAAGATTTCTTCAGCAAAAACTTGCCTTCTCACCAAACAGGATGGCTTGAAATGCCATATTTCGGAATTTCTCAAATATTTGTTCCCTCACTTTTAATCCAGTTTCACCCTGAATCATGGACAATCATAGGGTCATCAGATGAGTAATTGCATTCAATAAAGAATTTGGACACCACTAATGAGATGATGGAAGAGTGTGGTAGGCTGGGATTGGCTATGTGAGGAAATTCTTTTTGTTTATCAAACGAAAAAATCTGTTTCATTCTTTTGCAACAACTTTAGTACCAACTTTAAGATATCTGTTTATATAAAGATTGTTTATGGCAATTTGATAACTACACCTTATGATCTCATTCAAAGTTGTGTGGTTAATAAAATAAAATTGCTGATCAAGCAATGAAATGATTGATTTATGAGCATCCACTTCAACTGATTCTAAAGTTTGCTCTGATAGATGCTTTTTGATAGCTGATTTGTATGCAGCTGATACGTGAGAGATGTAATTATCTAGAATCCATTTAGTAAATCCCCAGATTTCAATTTCCAACTTCTTAGGATCATATACAGGTGAAAGGTTCCAGTCTTTGAAGCCAAATTTTGAAATTGGGAAAGTCAATACCTGAGACTCAATGAAAATTTCTGTTGTAAAATCTTTCTTACCTTCAATCACATTTTTACTCAACAGTTGTCTCTGGGTGTCTTGAATATCTGGATAACACAATTTCACATATATGAAGTGAGTAATATGCATTTTTTTGGGGGGGAGGTAAAGTTTGTAATCCACAGTTTTGGTCATGAAACTTTTAGTTATCAAAGAGAAGGAACACAAACCTAATGAATAAAAAGGGGTCAGGAGAAAATCATGGATATTAAACAGCTTTCGATCATATTTCATCTCATTTTCAAAGAATTTCTCTACATGAACCACCAAATTGAATCAGTATCAGTAAGTTTTGAAATCAAACAGTCCAAACCAGAGGTTTGTTTTTTTGAAATACTACTCACTTTCATAATATTCAAACAATTTGTGAACTGGAGATTTATTTGAAATTATTATTCCTTTATCTTGTTTGAGCAATTGAATTTGAGGAGGATTTTTCAAATTAGTCAATGTAAAAATTTGAATCGAATTTTCCTTTTCAGATCAAGGATCAGATTTAATTGATAATACTAACAAGCAGTTGACTTTTCAAGAAACTTCAATTCTCCATTTCCAGATGGGTAAATCTTATGAGGTAGTTCAATCTTCTGGTAATCAATTTGTGCTTGAAAATATCATAAATTTCAGTGATTGCTTTTAAAATAGGGCCCAATTAAAGAATGAGTTTCAATAAATTTTCTCACCTATAGAATTATTTAGTGATTGCAATTTTTCCATTTCAGATTCACTAGGGATTTCCTCTTCTACAAATTTCATAGAGGGAAGAAATGTTTGATGAAAGATATGGCTCTTGAATTCAATTTGAGGAAAGTATTGTTGCATTGGCAAAATCAATATATAAAACTTGATTTTACTGACCCTCTGCATCTTGAGAAGCATTGCCTATGTTCCTCAATTTTTTGAGGAAGTTTTATGGAGATTCAGGCCTTCCTGTTCAAAAAATAAATTAAAAGGAAACAATGAATGACCTACAATCTCTTGCTTTGTTGTTTCCAATTCCCAGGCTGCTAAGCATATTTGACAGAAAATTGAAATTCTCTTGTTGATTTTTTCCCACTATTTTCATATTGATCAATCTCAAGAGAAGATTTTTGTATGATAAGAAACAGGACACAAAAAAGTGAAACCATGTATTCTGATCAGAATCTGAAGATCAGAATCTGAGATGAAAAGCACTGACCTAATTTTTGTGTAACTTTTTTTGAGTTCAAGAAACAAAACAAGGATTCAACATTGGGACTTGGAAGAAACAAAATATCTTTTGGATTTGAAAAACAAATGCAAACGAATCATTTGGTAGACCTACATCCTTCCATATCTTCTTCCTCTTTTTCATTATGACTACTTGAGAGGTTTGATGAAGACTGAATTCTGCTTGAGTGATCTTTTCCTGATTGTTCATGTTCAAGTTTATTTTTTGTTTTTGAAAGGAAATGACAAGGAAAGTTTAATGCTGCCCTGATAAAGGGCCAACTTTTGAATTCAAACAACAAAACAAAACATATATGGGAGTCACCAACCTTTTCTTTGTGTGAATGCTCCTGAAGCTAAAACGTAAGGATAAATAAGAATGATAAATTCAGAAGAAAATATAGTAGATCCCATTTTTAAAAAGGAGAAAAATAAAAATGGGCCTACATCCACCAACTTCTGGTTCTTGTCTTCCCATGTAGCACAAGGGGTCTGAGGGATATATGATGCTCTGAAGCTGAATTTTTCCTGCAGTTTCAATTTCTGGATGGCTGATGTGAGTAGGGGTACCCTCAAATGACCTCTTTGACATTCCTCTTGAAATTAAAGCTGGGTGGGCTGAAACACTATAGCAGTGAAACAGCTGGAAGGCAACTAAAATTTTGGTTAAAAACATCACTGATTTATATGGATGTTTTGGATTGGATTGAGAATCTGGTAGCCGGAAATAATTAAGATGATGTTGAGAAGGAGAGGATTTTGATGGTGAGAAAGGTGGGTATTTGGCTATTTGTAACTTGATCTCTTTTCAGTATTAAAACAAGTACCCAAAAGGGAATGTTTTGAGTATGTCTGAGACTCTGAGAACTTGCTTTGTTTAAAATTGTGTACCACATTTTCTGTACAACAGTCTCCACAAAATACCCAACTTGAAGCAATCTGTATCTATATCCTGAACCAACCTGAGTTTCATATCCTGAACCATCCTGAATTCCATATCCTGAACCAACCTGGATTTCACATCTTGAATCAACCTGAATTTCATATCCTGAACCAACCTGGAATTCATCATGTTCTGTAAAATTAATATTGTAACTGCCTTCCATTTACTGAAAACATTGGGCAGTTGACCAATCAAATGGAGACTGTATAACTATAATTTCCTTCACTGTGCTAAAAAATGACTTTACTAAATGGCCAAGCAGTGTAAATAGACATTTTCCTTCTAAGAGTAAAAGTATGTGTTGGTATAGCAAACAGAATTTAGCGAAATGGTTGGGTATGAACACATCTGTGGTAGCTAACCCTTAAAACATGAACCCCAACTGTATCATTGACCATATTCAAGTTTTCAAAAGTGCTTGGATCTGATATCCCCTAAGTCCCCAAACTCCAGACCATCTGACTGTTCCTCAGATGATCTTTTAACTTGCTACATGCATTAACATCATGTTTTTTTTTCTCTGGAATTGATATAAAAGGCCTTCAAACTGGAGCCTTCACAAAAGTCAATCTAGACTTGCAGACTCTGGATTCTTAGCAGGAAATTTGGTCTTTGAGGCTCTGAATTGGTTTTTTTTTTTTTTTGGGGGGGGGGGGGTACCAATTGTGATGGGAAGGAAGTCCTCCAATAGTGGTAATTTTGATATTAACATGCAATGTTTGGCTCTCAACAAGGGCCTTCAAGCACCAAATTGCCCTCAAGAGTAACTTTTGTAAAACTGTATCAGCCAGCTACTGTACTCAGATTACATCAACAACCTGCAGTTCAACCAGCTCAGAAAACAGCCAAGTTTTGAGCAGAAACACCTACCAGCCATTCAGACTCAAATGATGGGTATCATAGTCAGTTGACTTTGGTTCAATGGGCCTCAACGATCAGCATGTCAGCTTAGAATAACAATGTCAAGCATGTCGAGGGTGTTGTGCTCAGTGAATCGAAAAGTTGGTCAGAGTTAGCGAGATTATGATTGTCAGGGACATGTTCGTTCTCTGAAGTTCATTATCAATAAGATAGTTTTCTCTATAGACGGGCTACCTCTTCGTTTCTAGCTTTGTCTCCATTCACTTGAGCCTCACACTCCCTTCCTCCCCAAAAGCCTACTGAAAATCAAAGAGATGAGGTGCGATGGAGAGCGGGACAGCAACAAGAGTGCAGCAACGTATGCATGAATGGGAAGATAATGGAAACTGAACAAAAAAAAGCATACAATAAGCGTAGAAAAGTAATGTTGTGGAGGAATTGATGTGAACAGGGCAAGCACAAAAACTAGGAGTTCAAAACAGGGCTTCTTCTAACAAGAGTGAAGAAAGGAATGGACCTCCCTGAAGAGAGTGAGATTGTGCATGAAAACACATCTGGTGTAAGAGAAAAGAGAGTGTGGAAGGAGACAACGACACGTTATACTTTTTTCACTGATCTTCGTTTCCTGGCCGGCATGATTAAGATTTGCGCTTAAGCTACAGACAGGGCAGATGTCAGTTATTGTCATCTTGCTTAGTAGAAAGAAAAGGTACTCACATTACCGGAGAGCCAATCTAAACCCTCATATAACCCATCACCAGAAGTGGCGCAGGTGGCTTGAATATACCAAGTTCTCGAACGGAGCGAGTGCAAGCCGAGCTTATCAGTGATCTCAGCTGCGTTCATCGCATTCGGCAAATCTTGCTTGTTGGCAAGAACAAGCAAGAGTGCATCGCGTAATTCGTCTTCGTTGAGCATGCGTTGCAACTCTTCTCTGGCTTCTGATACACGCTCACGATCGTTTGAATCAACTACGAAGATGATTCCTTGAGTGTTTTGGAAATCTATTGAGTCGGATAAGTCAGTAAACCGGAACGAGACGGTAACCGGAATCACAAGACTATATCGTCCGTCAACTTTGGACTCACAATGTCTCCAAAGAGGTCGGATCTTATCTTGTCCACCCACATCCCAGACGGTAAATGAGATGTTTTTATATTCCACCGTCTCGACGTTGAATCCTAAAGCAGGAGAAAGACATCCAGAATTAGGATGATGGGGAGTCAGCTGGTGAGATAAAGGTCAGAACGGGAAATCTAGCACACCGATCGTTGGAATCGTCGTCACAATTTCACCGAGTTTCAACTTGTAGAGGATCGTCGTTTTACCAGCTGCATCGAGCCCAACCATGAGAATTCGCTAGATATGGTACATCGTTTGATTCATCGGGTAAGCAGAAAGTAAGCCGGGTGGTTCGCCAGACAAGGGTGAAATGGGGACAAACCATTTCTTTCCGACCGAACAAGCCGGTAAACAGCCGTGAAACACTGACACACGACCATGAACATGAGCACTGTGATGATCTGATATGGGATGTTCGGCTTGGGATGGTTTTGAGCTTGACATACCTGAGACCCATGGTGATGTTCTAGTGGAGGCTGATAATCGATCGAGTCGAACGGGGTGCGCGGTTCGGGAACCAAGGTGGATGTGACTGGTGGCAGGGTAAGTGTATGCGAGGACGAGAGAGGGATGGAGTCGGGTGAGTGGGTCAGTGATGAGGATGCCGATGACGTGGTGAGGTGGAGCCGATCAAGCCAGATGAGGTCATGAGAAAGAGCAGAAAAAAAAGACTGACAGGGTGATGATTGGGTTTAGTCAGTACCAGGGGTGATGGGCAGTGGTGCAATATCGGTCAGTAAGCCAATCAGTCAATCGGTGTAAGCCAGATGACGACAAGATTTCGTTATCGGAGAAGGAGAGGGATAAAAAAAAAAGAGGAGGAAAGATGTCGAGAGTTGAGGAGAGGTTGTTCGGGTGAGCTTTGAGTTGTAGAACAGTATCAAACGGATCAGGAAGTCGGAAGAGAACCAACACACCTACGAGTTAAGAGATTACTGTTGGTCTTGAGGTGGAGTTTGGTCTTTTGGGTTTTGTTTCTGTGTGTCACTGGGGAAGGTGGAGCTGCTGGGTAGTCACTCTGGGCAAAGGTGGGCGCAATGACCATGTGTCACTCGAACTTGCCAACTTAAGTTCATGCGAACGTGTACAGGGCGACCGGGATATCTGAAACATCAACACCCGGGAGGAGGCTCGACTCGTCTGAGCGGGGTCTTACAGGGAACTCCGAGTGGTTTGATTGCTGGGGCTCTTGAGCCCGCTCCGACAACACATCTCGTCCGACGTCAACCATTCACCAGCTCAACGTCCTATATCATCGGCAAAATGGGGACAAATAAAACTCAGTCGGCTGGGAGTGATCGATCGACCAGTATCCTGATAGTACAGTTATTGTCCCAACAAGCAAGTTTCTATCTTGGGGAAGCTACATACAAAAGGAATTTGTTTTGGAAATTACTCATCTTGAACAAAAAATGCTTCCTGCATGTTGAAGGTAATTGAAGATGGTCAAACTGAAACTGATCAAAAATCTAATTTATAATTTCTTCTTGTCATATGTACAGCATTTCATGATCCACTTCCTGACCAAATCATATGGCAAAATCTGAACAAATGTTGGACCATCATACAGAGGATTTGAAAGAATTTGATGTAGTCATTGGTTTTCAAAGCTGAAGCATAAATTCATAAACATGGATACATAACAACTATTGGCTGGGAACATCTTACATAATCACAGCCAAGATCATTCAAGTTCCAGAAACATGGCCCTGGCTATATGTCTATGTTGCTCCTTGAATTTACAGCATTTGCCTTCCAAGGAATAAAACAACAAGATGTGACACGGTGGAAAAAATCTCAAGAAACTAAACTTAAGCCAGTTGAGTCTGAGAGGCAGAAACTATTGGTGGAAATTTGATGGATTCCCACTTTTCTCTTATATGGAACTTTGAACTGGATTCTCTCAGAAGTTTTGATCTGTCATATACCCTATAGCCCCCTCTGAAGTCATCCAGTCTCATGAAAGTCCACCACTCTGTGACATTCCTATCTGACTCTGCTCATCTCAAGCATTTTTGATTACTTTCTTTTGTTTGGCATAACAGAACCACTACTTTTTGATCAGCTGGTGTCACTGCATAAACTAACTTGTCGGACAAGCCAGTCCAACGAGTCTTTGGACAGACTTTGTCCAACGAGTTCAGCAGCCCAGTGGTGGCACAAAATAGGACTTGTCTGGCAAAGTCAGTCTGGGCACTCATTGGACTGGCTTGTCCAATGAGTGAATTCGTGCAGTGTGTATAGTCAATTTGAGACCTGGCAGAGAAAAGCAAGGTGAAAAGTTTTCACTCACTGTCTTCACCAAAATGAAGTTTCTTCTTGTTGGTCTGAAGTTCCACAGCCCCCACAAAGTTTGAGTTGTTACTCAGATGTTACCCAACAGGTACTTTGACAGAATTTCTAATAAGTCACTAAGCAGGAATATTACTTTGGAACACATTGCATTTAGTACACAATTTACATTGGGAGTAACCTGTACCTCAATGGCTGCAGAGCCAGTATGGTGAAATTGTTCATTTTTAAAATGCAAATTTTGAGAATTTCAATGGGTTGTGGCCAACAACCAAACTCAGTCATACCAACTTTGGGTGCTAGTAGTCAGTTTACCTTTTGATATGAGGTGGGTAGTGCTCATCAAGAAAATGCCAAACCAATTCAAACACAACCTGATTCCATGACATAACAGATGACTGGCCAATCAAGCAACCATGGGCAAGCACTTCAATTTTTAAGGACTTTATGTTATATTTGGGCTATTCAGACTTAGTGGGTTCTGAGCTTTCTGTACAGCCCCAAACGTTTATCAGAGTTACAAGATGGAGAGAAAAAAAAATCTTGAGGATCAATCAAGATAGCCATCAAGCTTTCCATATTTTTATATTTTCTGTGATCATCAATGGAGGGAAGAATGAAACAAAATTGAACTAGAGTAGAATTTCTTTACTAAACACCCTCTTGCTTTTCCATACCTCCATCTTCTTTGTCCATGTTACTTTCCTCTTCCTCTTCTTCCACCAAGCTCCTTTCGTCCTCTTCGGGATGCTCCTTACATGCCCACGAATGTGCAATCAGATCGTTCCGTAGAGTGGCCGCAGATCCGGCGTCTGTGGTCGAGCCAAGAAACTTGCGTACAAACGCTGAAAGCTCTGGAGATCGATCGTTCGCTGGTCGAATAGGCTCCAAGTTGGCCTGTTTGTTATGGTCGTATGCAAAGGTTGGTTGGACGGGCAGGGATCGCTCGTCCTCTACAATCATGTTGTGCAAGATGATGCAGGTTTTCATGGCCATTCGAAGGCGTTGACGACTCCATGAAGCTGATGGTCTTGCAACAATTGCAAAGCGGGCTTGGAGGACTTCGAAAGCCTGCTGGACGTCCTTGTGCGCAGCCTCTTGTATCTGGGCAAAATGCTGGGTGCGATTCCAGTTCCAGAGATAAAATGAGCATTGATTCATGTCAGATTCAGAGACAAGAGCATTACAATGAGACTATGGTTACTTACTTCTTGCTCAGGCCCCTGCGGCTGTGAGATCGTCTTAACGAAAGTCGGAGAGTCCGGATATGTCTCATGGGCGAGGTAATACCCTTGATTGTAAGTATTCCCGTTAATAGTGCATTCACATTTTGGAGCCGATCCGTTCAGTAAATCGCGGAAGAATGGTGATGAGTCCTCGATATTCGCGTCGTTGCGAGAGCCAGGGATGCGAAAACAGGCATGCCAAATCCACAGATCCTCGGAGGCCACCGCCTCTAGGACGATTGTCGGTCGCTATTTTGGAAGATATTCGAGTAAGCATTTCTGTGTCTGAGGAAGCCCATCGCAAACAATCTGTTGAATAAGATCATACATACCTTTTGCTTTTCGTTGGACTGCCCGGCCCCTACCGTTAGGGAGTTTTTCCACTCCCAGTGCATACAATCCAATGAGCCAAGCATCCCAGGAAGCCCACGAGCCAAGCCCATTGAGAACAATCGCTTCACATCATCCGTGTTGGGGCCCCGGAGATATTCGGTGGCATATAAGTCGTTCACTGCTTGACAGAACCTATCCAAACTCTTGCTGGAGGTCGACTCTGCGATGCGCAGATATTCATCATTTGCGTCTGAGGCCGAGCCGTATGCGAGAATGCGGAGAGCGCCGATGATTTTTTGGATGGGGTGTAATCCCAGCTTGCCCAGCGCGTCTGCCTTTTGGACAAAATAGTCATCATGTTCTTCAACATCCCTCGCAATCCTCAGGAAAAGATCTCTTCTCATTCTGAATCGACGGCGGAAGTCTTGATCGCTGAAGACCGGCGATTCGGCAAAGTAGTCTTGGAAAAGCCGTTCGTAACTCGCTTGGAAATCTCGATTCAGATTGGGCAGCCGTCCTTTCCTAGACCCTCCGTGTCGAGGACCACCGCGTCGAGCTCTTCCGTGTCGAGATGCAGCGTGTCGTGTCTGCTGTTCTGCGTCTGGTCGCCGTTCTTCTTCTTCTTCCTCTTCTTCCTCCTCCTCCTCTGACATCATCAACACGTTTGCTGCTTCTACCATAGCTAGTCTGATTTGAGCTGATGTTTGAAGCATCATTTGTTGGTTGCTCAAGATACGAGCGAGTATTTGTTGATCCATGGTGGGCAGGATTGGAAGCGACAGATGAAAGCAATCAGTGACCGCGGTGGTTTCTTGGTGTCTGGTGGCCGAGGAGCTGCTGCAGCTCGGGGAAGATGTAGTACTTGACATGGCGGCAAGGGCAATCACTGATTTTTAGCTCCCCGTTTAGCATCGCGCGGTGGGTCTGCCAGTTTGGAAGTGGGGATCTAAAACTTGGCACTGGCCAGCAGCCTCAAGCTGACAAGCAGAGACTGCCCGGGATGACCAACGCTCACTACCAAGATGCTCAACAACCGGTGGGCGAATCTGGAAACAAAAAGTTAGAGCTAACTTTATAATCTCAAGGCAAATCCTCATTGCCCCATTGAGGAGTAATGAGAATCTGATTTGCATTTGCAACACTCAGACCTTCCAAGCTTCCCTCTAGGGATGTGCTTGCTTGCCGGCGCATGAAACTCGCTGGCAATGTCTTCTTCCCTGCCAGTGAATAATACTTGCCGGCAATGTTCTGCAAGCTGACTCGATGTGATTAGGTGTACCTTATACCTGTTAGCTGCCAGCTGGGGAGTAAGTCGACAGCTCCTTGTTGGGGAGGAATGGACAAATCCTCCCCAGGACTTGAGTTATACCTTGCACCTTCCCGACAAATAGCCTGACGTGCAAGCCAGGCTTGATAAGCGCTAACAGCCAGATCCAGATCGCAAACAAGTTAGACACTTGACTTACAATCTGGGAGGATAGGTATTCTGCACAATGGATAACGGGATGAGCTCCCAGCTCATGTGTAACAGTTACGTGACGATTGTCACTTTCATTATGCGTTTGGGGGGCTTTTTGTTTCTACATTCGGCCACGCCTCAACAACTGAGCACAGCCATTGAAGTAACTCTTGTGAGCATTGCCTTGGTGACGAGCAAGACAGGTGGTACTGAGGACAGAAAAAGAAATGCTGCTGCTTGGTTCAGAGGAGTTCTTCATATTGTACACGACTGCACCAAAGAATTTATCAGTTTACCTGTATCATCAGCTGGCTCCCAACTTCAAGCATCGTCAGAAGAGGCACACGAGTCAATGACTGCTTACCTTATAAGGCCCAAACCAACCAGAAAATGTAATCACAAATTCATGCATCGATGATCCAACCAGCTTGTTGATTAATTTCGATCAGCCGCTGGCGGATTTTTTTTTTCTGACAAAATGTCAGACAAATAACCTGCTCGAGGGGGCAGGAATCGCTTTATTACAATCTTTGCATACACTACACATTTACCCCAAACCAGCGACCCATGTAAAGAAGCCGCCAATCCCGACATGGCTGCCATGACCTCCTTGTATCAAGCTTCAAAAAAAAACCAACTTTGTAAAGAAAGAACCCCAGACAATATAAGCTCCACAGTGAGCAGATCACAAGTTTGATTTATTTGTAAGAGTTATCATTGGCATCCAATAATTAGGTAGAAGAAAGATAGATAGCTATAAACAAAAGAAGAATGAATTGAGGTTATAGCATATGTTCCAATCCCAGATTAGTGGTATTCCTCTCGAGGAGACGAGTCAGACTATGCCTTAGAGCTTTTATCCTCAGGAGCTGAGTCCGAACTGAGGTGCCATCTCCACCACCAAAACCAACGTCGTTTCTGTGGTGAGGTATTGGAGAGGGGTGAAGCAAGTTTGGAGGACGATGGATCTGCGCTAAATTCACTCTCTAACTGGTCCAATTCAGCTTCTTCGGCAGCTGTGAGTGAGTCATCTTCGTGATCCTCATCCTCATCGGACTCGTGTTCTGATGGGCTTGATTCTTTTTTGTTTGCCGGCCGAAGCATCTCGCTAATCAGTCGTTGTTTCTCCTTGGCTCGCAGTCGAAGTTCCCGGAGACGGCTTTTCAGAGGTGACGTTGGCGCTAGCGAAGGCGGGTAGTTGATTCGTTCGGCATTGAGAAGAGGCTCTCGAAGCGGCGAGGACGGTCGTAGCAGTTTGATTATCAATTCAAGGCCATGTCTCGACTAGGAAGATGATTCAAAACCGAGTCACTATTTTCCAACTCAATTCAGTGGCTTTGTAGAGCATGAGGAACATACATTTCTTGACTGGCGTTGAAATCGACTAATTCCATATTGCTCAATCCTCTTCCGAATCGCATAAAATCCCCAGGAGGATGTAACTTTTACGGACGACGTAGCTTCGGTTCTATGAGAAGCAGAATAGCGCAATGCACCAAGCCAGAAAAAAAATTGGTCCATAAATTGTGATTGACTAATAAGATGATCTAGGTAGATGGGTTCTGCACACGTGCAATTCAGATCCGATCGTCGCAACAAAAGCCTGGTCCAAGAGCTTGGCTAATATAGGAAGGAGTGTAAGGGTTGCCAGCAAAAACTCACACCTCACCTAGGGCTCGTAGAGTGATCCTTTCAATGACTTCCATCACACGGCGATGGTCCAGGTTTCGATTGGATAACGTCATCGTCCCGTCCAAGATGTTGATCGTTGACTCTTCCAGAACCCAAGTTTCGGACTTCTCGACGATTCCTCTGGGAGCCCATGACGGAAGAGTACCCCGTTTCAAGACGAGACGTGTGGAACGCAAGGTACCCGATTCGGCATCCCAGCTACGCTCAAGGGTATCGGCCGTGATCACATGAGGGGCGAATGGGTTCGGGTAACGTAGCGTGAACGCTTGACAAACAAACCGAAAAGGATGACTGCAAACAAATATCATAAACAGCATAACACGAAAGTTGAATCGCTCCTCGATCAGTTTGGTAATAAAACATAACGAAAGTGGATGACCAGCGGGCTTTACACACGGAATTACTAGTTCATCAAGATGTGAAAGCACCATCGTTCATATTGAAGGGCGGGCTTTACTGCTACAATTCGCTCGAATGGATTGCCAGAACGAAGATGATCTCGTGACTCGTGAGGAATGGTGTGGATACTGATATCGACTATATACAATCTTCAAGGACTGTTATGTGGACATCAACTTTTTGAGATTGCATGGCAAATATTTATGCAACTGCACTTCCCTCATCAGGGCACCAACACGGCCCAGGGAGCCCCCCTTGAATGTCGGGCGCACCTCACGAGTCACAACTGGGCTTTTCCACAGCTGATGTGATTTGAGTAAAAAATCACAATTTTTTGGTTTCTGGGCTCCATAAGGACTTTCCTGGGTCCTGTGACAACAGGTTTCATCATTTCATTCATGAGAATCTTTCACTGTCTCGTCATTTTTGCTATTCTACAGTAAAATACAAATGAAGAATGTGATGTGTCCATGGCCCCGGAAAACACAATCAGGGGTTAGAGGCAGATAGAAACGGTAAGCAGTTGAATGGGAAGCATTTAAATGAGGAGGTGGATAATCTTCTATCTAAAAAAAGGGGGCCAGAAAGTTTTCACTGTTGCGTGCCTCATGATGGTTCGTAAGTAGCCAAGTGTGAGCCAAGTTTGTGGTGAAGTCCGCTGGGTGGCCATCAAATGGTGGGTTTTTAACTTCCTCTAGACACCAACAAACAACGGTCGCACGCTTTATGATCGGGCAAAGACTAATCTCAGCTGGGTAATTCTGGTTTGATTGAGAATTGAAAGACTTACAGAGCCTGTTGTACTCGTTTGCTCGAGATGAGCATTTGTAGGATGTGCCAGATGCATCTTGGGCCTCTACGAACCGGTTCAATTCAAATTCTCTTCAGGCTCAGCTCCCTATACCTAGCAACTCCTATACCTAGCAACTGAATCGGATTGACATACCTATGAATGTGCCCTCGTCCTTGTAGAAAAATGGCTGAATCGTCTGGTCAGTTCCAGATGGTTTGCCAGTGGATCTTTGAATAGCCCGGCATTGGCGGAGTGCAAACCCATTCGGACGGTTGACTGGTAGTCATAGGCCAGTACGAGTACGTAGCGGGGGGGGGGGGGGAAATGACACTATTAAGTGGGCGAATCGATGGGCAAGTCAAGATATACATAGCTCACAGCTGGGGCAATCCCTGAAGTCGCAGCTGTAAACAGATTTGTTGCCTATTTGGCACCCTGCAAATTGTAAGTTGTGAAAGAATTAGGAGATAGTACTATGGGATGACAACTATCGAAGGAATTCTCGCTTACTTGCATGGCCATCGGGTCCGCTTAAATTAAAGAGCAAGCCACATGTTTTGATAGATTCATTTCCTCTGCTTCGTTGCACAAGGGAATGCCGATGTGATGCTGAGAGCTGAACAGAAGGCAAGAGAGTCATGGCAATGACTGCGTAGAGGAAGTAATGGGATCTCTGGATCCAGTTTGCGGAGAACATGGTCGATCGCGGCTATGAATAATGGCTGAAGAGTGTGGCAGTGGATGGTCAATTCCTAAGTGGGAGAAGATGATGCTCTGAGACTGTGGAGGAAAGAAATGGAAGGACGAAAGGTTGAAGATATTATAATATTGATTCATGGTGTCATGCGTCGCCTGGGTCGTCCATGCTCTTGATTGTCCGGAACGGCATACGGTGTCTCTGCCCCTTGGCCAGGGTTTACTATGTAGGAAGGAAGCACTTCTGCATGCACCGCGGGTGCAATCCCTGCCCCAGCGCCGTCCCAGGTAGCAAAAAGACCTGAAAACAGCCTCGTCGCGAGGCCGCTGTGATGATGGCTCTCCTCCTCAAATGGTTTTGACTACACTTGGGACGGGTTTTTTTCGGGAGGTCCCCATGACACCAAAGTGCACCCGTGGTGTATTGGAGCTTCCGCTTGTTGAGCGGATTTGAACAGCTCAGGCTCTGGAACGTTTTTTTTCCATTAACCAGCATTGAATGCAGCAGACTTACAGCCATAGCTGACAGTAAACTGCTTGTCGTTGGGAGACCACACAAAATCGTGAATTCCGCCCTCTCGATCTAGATATTTGGATGATGAATGCTTAGTTTTGATGAACTGAAATGAATCAAATTGACCGTTAGCACTCAGCAGCCATAGTAACTCTTGCCAGTCTTATCTACGTCAGTCTGAGTGAGTATGATTGTTCCTCATGAAGACCAATAGTGTAACGAGCAAGCACAGCCCACAGCAAAATCTAAAAAATTATTATGAGAATGAACTAAGCTAAAAAAGAAAGATCGAGACTTTAGGTAAGATTTGATAGAGATTTTCAAAAATATTTATGTTTTCAGAAGAGAAAGATAGGACTAACACCTTATTTTGAGTCTGAAAAGAAGGGTTTTAAGACAAGAAAGGTAAGAAAATAAATATTAAAGGAGAAGGAAGTTTTGAATTTTTAATCTGTAAAGAAGTAGAGACCAGTACGAGTTAAAGTCAGTTGTACCTAGAAAAATATTTAAGAAGACTTGTATTCGCTTTGAGGGTTTCTTTCCTCATGGCGAAATTTTTGTTTCATCATTAACATCAAACTTGCCGTAATCAAAAAAGAAATCTTCTTTACGTTACAAAAAGATAAAATTAGCGTGCCCGATCCGTGTTGCTTGTGCTGTGGATCATTCTTGTTTGCTTGTCTGGGGCTGCTGTGACCTTATTCGTTACAAATAGCTCTCAAGTTGTATCCCTGATCATAAATCACCATCCAAGAGCAAGCTTGAAGCTTTTTTTGTGAAGATAAAAAAAAAACACATGTGACACTGACAGGTCTTAGTGTGTAAGGCAATTTATGGAAAATCAACAGCATTCAACCTAGACAAAAACCAAGAGGAGGGAAAAAGATAATGAGTTTTGTAGCAGACTGTTTTTTGAATGTCATAACTTAAACTCTCTAGTACTAGTAGCTATCGAGGATGGTTAGACTTGAACAGGTCAAGCAAAAATCAGAGCCTGCAAGAGTTTTTTGTTGCCGTTGCCGCAGAACTAACCCCTTAACTGGTTGAAGAGTGATCTTTTAATTTCTGCAGGTATTTTAACACAGAGGAAATGCCGATCATCCAAATAAAAAATGAATGAAAATTATGGGTGAAAGCTATCATAATCTCGGGCCTGATAAACTAATGGGCTGGGGGAAAATATCACATGTTTGGGGGTTCTGACATTGTCCAAACCCCGTAGAAACCTACATCAAAAAAAACAATACAAAGGTCGAATGTCTTCAGCATAAATTACAACCAATAATATAGAGATAGAAGGAGGAAATATGATAATGGATGTACCATGGTTTTGGATATCTGCTGAAGAATCCACTGATCTTAATCCCAGGAGATCTATAAATTCGTCATCTTCGGTACAATCTGAGTTCCCGTTCTGGGTTCCGAAATCCGATTGTACTTCGAATCCTCTAGGATAACAGTCGGTGTCTGATGGGTTACTTTGAGAGCTGTGATTTGGCACCCGAGAGCTCTCAGTTGGCGATGCGACCTTCCCGAAGTCCGGGTCGGTCCTTATGGTAGGGCTAGTAGATCGCTTGGTGGATTCTGGAGTAGAAACGGCTCCCTGATGGACTTCTCCAGACTCGTTCTTGCCATCTAAATCGAGCTGGCTGCAATAAGACTCATTCTCACTTGATGATGATGGGTCAATGAAGTCGCTCAGTTTAATCCATGGCTCATCAGCATCGCGGTGGGGATGCTCGCTTTTAAGCCTTTTGGAGATGAATGAGTAGCCATCCTTGCTCGAGGAACCGGCGTCCGTAGACACGTCATCGACGGGTTTGGAGTCCAGGTCGGTCAGGTTTTCGAGCGTCGTTGAAGGTAGAAAGCTGTAGGCATTCCAAGGCAGCTCGATATTCAGCGCTTTCAGTCCTTCGACTTTTTGAAGACCTCGCGAAATGGTTGTTGTGTTTTTTGATCGAATACTGCATGGTTCTCGTAACCTAAACTCGTCAAGATTTGAGGGAAGTAACTCTTCGCTGATTTCATGTTTCATTATGGGCCAATCCGGTTCATCGACTAATGAGGAAATCTATCAGTCTTAGGTGAGTCAGAACCTCCCAATCCAGCTCGGAACTTACTTGGGATTCTTTTCAGTCCAGAGTGGAGATTGACTGCTTCTCCTGGACTTCCAAAGATCTCGTGTTCAAATTGCTGGTCGTCCCATCCTCTGTTCGCGACTAACTGATTTAAGATCTCCAGTAAATCTTGGTTACCTTCTTTACTGCGGCCCTCAAATGCAGGTTCAGGTGTTATAGAAGCTCGCGCAGGTTGGTGTTCATCAAACAAACAGCTGGCCATATCCCAGTGTTTCCTTGGATTGAAAGATGTGGATCTATCCAGATGTAAAGGCATTCCTTCGGTACGGCTGAAAAGAACGGTCTCGAATGGATTATCTAGTCCTTCAAGCTTATCCCAGTTGTTTGGGTCTGCCGAGGAGGACAAAAACTCGATGGCAACATCCTTTTGTTCGTTACTTTCATGAGGTGATGGGCTTGATGGCGGTGTGCAAGATGGGCGTAGGCAAGAATCTAAGAGGGATGGTGGAGCAAATACTTCTCTTAGGACCAGACTTGCTGACTTGCGCAAAAAGCAAAAAGAAGATTACCTATGTCGTTCCAAGCGTCGTTTGATAAAGTAGGACTGAATTGCCGAATTTCTTCTTCCCGAAGATTGCTGATGACCGAGCTAACAAAATCTTTTCCCTTGATGCGCCACGAGTCTGCAGATGTTGATGATTGTCTAGCTATCAAAGGAGGTGAGATTGCGTGTCGTGAAGTCTCGCTTGGCTTTTTTCAACAGCAGCACATTCAAAGGAAAAGAAATCCCCCATTATCAACAAACAGGTGTAAATTTGACAGGGCGGGACGTTGGCCACTTATCAGTAAGAAAACAGAAAAGATTGCTTACCAGTGTCTCATCTGACTCCAGGAGATCACTAGCCATGCTGACGAGGGGCGAAAAATCCCGGACGACTTCTCCCCTCTGCACTTTGTTTTCTTTCATTTTTTGATACTGTAGGGAAGAAAGCTGAAGTGTAGTCTCTCTGCATATATCCCAAGAAACCTTAGAGTAAGCTGAAATGTGTTCAGGACACGATTTGGAATTACATAATTTCTTTAAGAGTGAACTGACGATAATTCCTCCGGGGTAGGAATGTGGATAGGCTTCTCCCCATCTGCAAAGAGATCTGTGAATGTCTGTCGACCATCGAAAGAAATCCAATTTTTGATTGTGTTCAAATCATCAGGTTGCAGACTGATAGGCGTAGCCTTAGTATTTCTCCTCGCGAGGATGTAATCGTCCATGATTGGAGTGAGTTGAGGCTCGAATAGCCCATCTGAAGGATTGCCAGCCAAAGGAGGGTCAGCGGAGGTTCCAGCTAATGTGCTCATTTGTGTAAAACTTTTATCTTGCTAGCTGACCACCCCACCAATCCGGATCCGCTAGATCCAAATGTTTATATCTCCTGACCAGATCCCGGACTACCTTGGCGTAGGCCAACCGACCTTGAGGAATGAGCCAGCTATCCAGTGATTCCAGTTGTTTGTAATTCTCTTTTCCATTCTGGGAAGTGATCAGGTCTAAAGAACTCCAGGTGTGCTTGATGTCCTCGTCAAGCGATTGGGTTGGTGGTGCGAGCTTGAAGGCGATCGAGAATTCGATGACCAAATCCTCTGCGAACTCGAATGTCCAATCTGGATCGCAAGTCAGATTGTGATGGCGGGTGTACTCCAGTATGGACTGGGAAGTGGATAATGCCATCTTGTGCGTCTGGATTCTTGATTGTTGGTGGTTGGCAATGACAAGCTTCCAGTTGACCGTTTTCCTTGTTTTCCATTTGGATTACAAATTACAGTTTGTCGAGAAAAGATGCAGCCTGGGTTTTGGTAGAACTGACGCATACACTCAAGTTTCTCTGTTCCTTCAGTGGAGAACGTCACTCTGCTGTTCAGTTGGACCCGATTGCTTTGTTTTCTTTCCTCTCTTCACTCCATCCGACTCGCAACCCACCAAGCACTTCTGAACAATAGAACATGTAACCAACACTGTTTACCCACCGACAAATCAAATTGCAACCCTTGATGGTTTGAAGCTGGCCGGCTAGTGATTCAAATATGTTAACAAACCACGGTTCCATTAACCTGTCAGTGTTGTATGATGTTTGATGCGCCGGCCACCTGGAAAATCAAGTGAGTCTCTCAGAAACCAGGTTTCCAACCAAGATTGCCGCTTCATGTGTCGACGGGGAAACACAACTCACCTGCTTCGGATGACTCCATGAACTCCTTTGATATCTGATCCTGAGGACAATTCTCAACCTAGCGAAATTGATTCACTTATCTTCTTAAAATTTTTAACAACCAAATGGATTCTTTACTGCCAACCGAAAGCTTAGTGCTACATATTTCTATAATAGAATTTAATACAAAACAAAAACATATTGGCTTGCGACTGACTTGACGGAAGATCTATGGGGGGGGGGATGATTTATAAAACCCAACAATGGTGCAAAGTGGCTGAATACATGAGGTTCATAATACATGCATGGATCGGATGAATAGAACGAATCAAATCGTGTGGGAGGGGAAAATTTCTGAAAAAAACATATAACCAAATCACAGAAACTGACAAGGACTTCAATCGAGTTTAGTCGGAGGTTTGATCGGAGGGGGAGGATACAGCGAATCGCGGTAGACCCCACAAGCTCCAGACTGCCCAGCGGCTTTAGCGCCCCAGCCGATGAGTCCTTTCCAATTCACCCATTCGTTCTTGAGTCCTTCGAGTAATTCATCTTTTTCTATCCATACTTTCTCGATCCAAGCTTTCAATTCAGCTTCATCCTCTGGGAGTTCTGCTATCGCCCATCGTCGGGTATGGATATGGAACTTGTATTTCGGACTCAACCTACTCATGCTGTTGATCGTCACCAAGTCTGGTGCCTTTCCAAATCCGTTCGGTCCGTTATAAGCCAAGGTTACATCTGAGAAGTTAAACGCAGAGGAGACAGTCTCAGAAACATTGGTGCGTATCTTAAAAATTTGTGGAACGCAATGACTTACCATAGACATGAGTTACTTGGCTCCGACGTAACTCTTAGTTGATGAACGAAACAGTGGGGTGTACAGTAAGCTTTCACACCTCTTTCATGAATGCTCTGACATTTACTCATGCTCACCTCTCACGGCTGCTATAAAACCTTTAGTGCGAGCTGCAAGCACGTTTCTTAACACTGTCTTGCCATCTTCTTGACAATATTTTTGACTCTGCAAAAAAAAGATAAACACGTAGATAGTTGAAAGTAAGTTTCAAATCATTCAATGATGTCAAAGTGAACAATGGTGCAACATTCACCTTTTCTAGTTTTTCGGGTGTCATTCTGGTGCCTTCGAGGAAGCTCACTAACCAGACCTTTTTGCCAATCCCAGGAGGTTGTTTTAATCCTCTGAAAGCTTGACTTATTGAATCAGAATCCTTTAACCAATCCCTAGTCACCATCACCATTCCTATCAACTACTCAAACCCAAGGAGAATGCCTTGATCAGAATTTATTTAGTATTATATGTTGGATCTATCGGAAAGATGCATGCCAAAGAAAAAGACTTGGTCGAAACAGCTGTTTCAACATGGAATCTCGTGTGTCAAAAGAACTTACATACATACTCCAGCCAAAGATCGGCAGTTGCCACTTCAGAGAGGACTTGACAAACCATCGCCCGTATGGTAACATTCGTTTTCGAGCCGCAAGACCGTTCTGGATGTTCAGCCACCATCAATAAATACTTAATATTTACAGTGTTTTCCTCCTCGCCTCTCATCTTTCTTTGAAAATGCTTACAATTAAATAGAAATCCGAATACGATAAGTGGTTTGCTGCAGAAGAGGTTGTTAATCAGGATAAATTGTCAGGCATTATGCCGTGCTGAAGTCCTAGAAGGAGGAGGGTGGGACGGATTGAAGATGAATTGGATGGAGTACTGACCAACGACGATTGCGTTCTCATTTGCAGGGATTACGTCACCGGAGAAGGTGATGGAAGCCCCATGACGGTATTCGAAGACGTATTGCATTCGATTCCATAAGAAGAAGGCGATATGCGAATTGATGATGTATGCCCGAAGTTCGTCGAAGGGCATGATGAGGATCGAGGTGAGGATGAATAGCAGATTGGCAACCAGACAGATGAGGAAGAACCAGGCAAAGTAGAACACCATTCGGATCACCGGATGTATTTCTATTCCCATCTTGGAGAGCTGGTCCACTGAAATCCGGTCGTTTGACTCTAGTTTGTGTTTGCGGTTTCCTGTTTTTGCTTCTATGAGTTTTCTTGTTGGATGGAGTTCATTGAACTTTGATGTCAGCTTGAAGAAATATGTAACTAGCTTTCGAGCACACTGCAGTTCCAGAGTAGCTCCAGCGCGCCTAACTCCGCCCAGCTGATTTTGGGAGAAAGGTGGGGAATCTCTATCACAATTGTGCAGGACTTTCACCACTTGGAGTGTTTTTAGCCCCCCCCCCCACAGTTTCAAAGTAACACTCCAATCAAAACAATGAGTAGCTCACATAACAGCCTTTCACAGCCAGGCTTTTGAAAAAAAAATATTTTGGCATAAGTTCTGGAACTTGGAAGGGTTTGAAATCCCAACAGGAAGTCATCCAATCCAACTGCCAAGGCTTTCAATGGATGTCTCCCCATTGTGATTTAGAATCCTTGCAGAAATTGAGTTGCACCACTAGTTAGAACTTAATTTTCGGCAAACAAAATATTTTTTCCGGAAGCCCTGTTGTGATTGCTCTCATTTGAGCTGGTTGTGGTTCTGATTACAGTGTTAATTTGGAACTTGGAGGGGTCTGAAAACACTTACCAGAAGTCCTCCAACCCATGTTTCAGGGTCTACAGAGTGTGTATTGAAATTTTTGTACTAAATTTTTGAAAGACTAGGAAAGTTCTTATGATTTTTTATGATTGTGCTTATAAAGGCATGAGTTTGTACTTAATTTCACAAGGAAGGGACAGGTGATTGGATGCATGAAGCACAAGATTGGTTGCTGGTTAATGAGAAGAGTCTTTTTCCTGCTCAAAAAATGATCACTGCTAGGTGTAGAGCTGGTTGCTACACATCCGGATATCCACGCGGATGCGGATATCCGGCTGCCTTTTCCGGCCAAATGGCCATCCGCATCCGCATCCGCACCCGCTAGCGGGTATCCGTCGGCCGCAGCGGGTATCCGAGCGGGTATCCACGGATACCCGCCCTTTAAAGGGCCAGCGAGGCGGCTGGAAGGAAATCCTTCCAGCCGTTGAGGTACATGTACCTCGTTGGCTGGAAGGGTTTCCTTCCAGCTGTCGAGGTACATGCTTGACGGCTGGAAGGAAATCCTTCCAGCCGTTGAGGTACATGTACCTTGTTGGCTGGAAGGATTTCCTTCCAGTCGACCGGCGCCGGCTGGAAGGGTTTCCTTCCAGTCTACCGGCGCCGGCTGGAAGGGTTTCCTTCCAGTCTACCGGCGCCGGCTGGAAGGGTTTCCTTCCAGTCAATGAGGTACATGTACCTTGTTGACCGGAAGGATTTCCTTCCAGTTGACCGGCAAGGTACATGTACCTTGCCGGCTGGAAGGAAACCCTTCCAGCCGGCGCTTCTGCCCTTCTGGCCTCGGGTATCCTTTGGGATACCCGGATACCTGGCAGGGTTTTGCGGAAAAGGGGCCATCCGCATCCGCTGGAGGGTATCCGTTGGCTCTGGCAGGTATCCGCCAGCGGATAGCCAATATCCGCAACGGATATCCAGAGACCAGCTCTAGCTAGGTGGCTGATTGTATTTTTCTTCAGTCTATAGTACTGGGTACTTAATGAAGAAATTTTGGCAAAAATAGCCGAATAAGAAATACTTTTTAATTCTTGAAGAGAGGGCTAATGTGCTCGCAACAATGACTGAAGAAGGGCTAATGTGCTCCTTCAGGACCGATCTAAAAAGAATAAAGAACCGATGATTTTTTATTTCTCAATATCTAGAGTAGGGAGTTAAGTAGTCTAGATACAAGAGAGCACAAGTTGTGGGACAGAATTTTATGCATATTGAATAAAAAAAAAAAGGTCGGTGATAAATGAGTGACAGGTGACAGAGAGGAAAAATGGAAGAGAGAGTGAGATCGATGAGCGAAAAATTCAACACTTAAAACTGATAAATTTTTAATTTACTTTACAATACCTGGCAATTTTCAGTAGCAGAGTTCAAGATTGGAATTTAGGGGCTTGGAAAAACAACTCTTAAAAATTAGTCAACAGCTCCCATTACTGCTGTTAATGAACAATCTTAAGAATGTATTTCTTTTATAAGTATCAAATCACGATCAGAAATACATGAGATAAAAAGGAGGTTTCCTAACCTTAAGGCAAACAACAAGTGCGCGATGAAGAAGGAAAAAACAAGGAGGAAAGTACAGGACAAAAGATAACTGAGATACAATGAAGTAACGCTACTTTTAATGTCTGGATCAGTTGAGAGCGCAAAAGAGAAAGACTAAGCCGAAGAACCTACAATAATGTTATCGACCTGATGTTCTTTGAGGGATTCGGCAAGTGGTTGAGAAGGAAGGGAAGTACAGGTCAAGTATCGGCAAGAAGTCGAAATGGAAGGGAATGCACTGAGCGGAGAGAAGACAACAAGGATGGTTGAGTTTGAAAGAGATAGAGCAACACGAGATTGAGGAGTTCTCAATATAATGAAATGATGAGTGGTGTAGAGCGCAGGAACTAGAATAGAGTTGGATGATGTTGTAAGTAACAACTGAGAAAGTTCCACGACCGGAAAGAAAGAGGGAAGAAAGAGAAGTCCTGTTTATATGCTTGAGGATCCGAGTGAAACAGAGAAGATTGCTTGAGTGTTTTGACAAGGCTCGAGCCAGATGACATCATATGATGATGTCATGTGGTGGAGCGTGTTGTCAAAGAGTTATGAGGTTAGAGGGATCGTGAGATGAGCGCAATAGCGCTCAGACTTCAACAACTGCTGGTGGACTTCCCATGGGAGTCAATGTTGATTTTTCAGCTTCTTTGGTCTACTCCTCCCTAAAATCACCCTCTTTTCTTCTCATCTTTTTCTCCCTTTTTCTTTCTGGAGTCATCCTAAACTGGACTGAATTATAGTCAATCTTGCCTAGTTTTTTGTTGAATCTTATGCACACTTGAATTCTAATTAGAACTCCTGTGGCAATTTATCATACAACTCTAGTTCTGAAGAATGATTTCTTTCTTTTTCTAGTTTATTATTTGATTCATTAAAAGCTAATTATTTAGAATTAACGCCTCTGAATATTTGTGATAGAATTCTTGTTTTTTCTGGATTAACTCTTCTTGCCTGACTAAAAGAGACTGAGAAGTCCTGCCGAGATTGTTTCTTCCAAGAACTCAATATATTCTTTCTCTTAGTTGTTATTCAATATTCTTTTTTATTCATTTTCTCTCAAACCACTTTTTGAACACTTGTACTTAGTCTACTTAAGCTTGCCTACTTACAGTGAATAAAAAACCATTGGTTCTTTACACTCATTTTCCTTGAACCTTTCCCAAAAAAGGTCCCCTGATTTTTTGTGCCATTTTCTCAAAGTCTTCATCTTCAGCCGGTCAAGAGCTCAAAATTTCAACAGTCAACTTTCTAATTTGAGGGCAGAATAAGGGATTCATTGCTCTAAATAAATTTTGCTTTTTTTCTTTTGAATGAATTCTTTTTGATTTATTATCCACTTTGAACCCTTTTTTCCTTTTATCATCCCTTTTATGGTTTCCTGCCTTTATCCCTTGTTTTTTTTCTCTTTCTTTCTTTCTTTCTGATTTTTTTAATGTACACCAAACTATGTGTTTTTTGGTCACCAAAAATCAGAACAAATAAAAATTTTTGCTCTTCAATGACTCAAAATCTTCAAACCAGCATGTGGATGGACATAGAAGCTAGAATTTGAAAAAGAAGGAAATATGGTGTTTGGGATTACAAATCCAGCTTTTCACTTGATGACACAATCCACCAATTGGGCTGTGGCCTGTCAATCTGAGCTGTAACAGCGGTGGGCCGCTACGCTACGCTACGCTTTTGGCCCAAAAAGCGTAGCGTAGCGGCGCTTTTTTTTCACCAAAAACCGTAGTGTTAGCGGTTTTTTAGCGGTTTTTCGCTACGCTACGCTGCGCTACAGCGCTTTTAGCGGAAAAAACGGCCAAAAACCGCTAAAAACGGCTGTAGCGCAGCGTAGTGGGCCCTTTTTTGCGGCCCACACGCGTAGCGTTAGCGGTGTCGTGGCGGAATTCCGCTACGCTACGCTAATCGCTAACAGCGATTCCGCTGCGTTACGCTACACTAACCGCTACGGTTAGTGTAGCGGCCCACCGTTGGCTGTAACCCAATTCTTGTTGGTCATTACTGGGGTACAGTCAAGGAGGTGAGGGAAGTCCATGGACAAAGACCCTCCATGGGCCTCTAGCTTAACACAAACCCCTCAAATTTTTGGGCCAGGTATTGCCTGGCTGCAACACTGCCACAGATATGGTATCTGCCCGTATCTGCCATGTATCACTATGTATCTGAGCCCCAATAAAAAAAAAAATCTGACCAATCTGCTTTTATTTGCAAGGAGATTCAACAAATTTGGTTTTTGGCCATGCAGCTTTGCAGAATTCTCCATGATACACACAGCGTATCGTATCTGTGGCAGCATTGCTGGCTGGCCCAAAGCACCCCTTGAAAAGCAAGCCTCCAAAGGAGGGGCTTGCAAGTTATGTCAGTTTGTTGGCTTGACCACCTGAGGCACTTTGGTGGGGAGTTTATTTTTGATCATCTTCACTGAGGGCAAACCCAACACCCTTTGTACCATGAGAATCACTTCAACTTCACACATCTTTTAGTCTATTCCCCATCACCTCCCCATCCATTCTTAGTGTAAAATTCTTCAAACGTAAGCGGTTTGAGCTTTTGCTACTTGTATTACAATCCATAGTACCACTTCTAGTATAGCTGTGAGTGTGACAGTGCATACCCACAATGCCAAAGACCCAAACTCTTTCAAAGATTTCTTGGGTTTTCCTGCTCATCAGCTCAATTGGAAATTTGAGCACATTATCTTGAAGCCAGGATGCCAGGCTACTTCCACCTCTGGGGGAATCCCCTCCAGATGGCCAAGTCTCTTGTAATAGTTTACCAAAGTGAAAATAGCTCAAGAAAGCCACAAATTCTCAAAGTGCTCATGCCAACAGGTTGACATTACTTGTAAGGTCCCTTTGGGACACAGGTTCCCTCCTCAGTTTGAGAGGCTTAGTTAAGCTAGCATGGGCCTTGGCAGCCTGAGCAGTTCATCCAAAG